GCAGCCCGATTCGTAACCACTACGCTACCAGAGCTCCTTTAGACCTAAATACAAGATGGAATTAAGCTCTGCTTGGCTGGAGTTATTCGCATACAAACAGCCTTCAGATTTTATACTCTACAGAATTTCTTCCTGTTCGCTAGAGATTGATGGCAACCACATTGATGACCAAAACCTGGACTTTGCTGGGTTCCTGGATAGTGACTTACGGCAAGCTCTTTAAACATTTGTTGGGTTTTCACCAGATACCAGCTGGTTCTTTACCAGGACTCTAACTAGTGACATCTCCACCAGGTTGAATGTAGAGTCCAGCAGAGCTAAATGCACATCACCTTGGTCAGAGCCATCTCTTCCCTCAAAACACACTGACAGTGAAGGCCTAATGTAAGAAGAATGCAATTAAAAATATATTTTTCTTCATAAAGATGACCTAAACCATGTGATGGCTTATTGCATGGGCAACATATTTCTTTCTTAAGAAATTGCATAAGTAAACTTTATATAATATTCCATAATTCTAGTAGCAATAGCATTATTAATGTAAGTAAACAGTACAGATTCAGAAATAATAATGAAACAATATATATGTAAAATAAAACTGTGGTTAAGACACATGGAAAGGCTTGCTTATACAAAGTAGTAAAAAGTAAGTTATGGGACAAAACTATCAAAAAGAATAGTGAGGGTCAGTCACAAGGCATTCATTTCAAATAACACCCATTCACTAAGGCAATCTATTTGTCTATAGAAACCTAAGGCACAGATAGTAAGGCAATGTCAAAAGCAATACATTTGAGTAAAGTCCAGTGATCTTAAAATCCAAGACCTTGGGAATAACTGTCTTCTGCTTTTACCAAGTCTGAAAGGAGCGTTTCAGTTCCTTTAGTGTGTGACAAGTGTGTTTGTAGCTAAAAACACTAAAATGTGGTTAATTTTAGCAGGGTTCTAATTGAGTTCTTCTGATGTCTCTTAGGGTCAAATCAGATAAGCTTGGGGATCAAATTTTTCTCACCTGTGAAAATATGACAACACTTTGCAAAAGAAAATTCAGTTACAATACATATAACATAGAGTGAATCTTACTGTTGGAGGTCTATTTAAAACACTCCAAGTGTTCTTCCCATAGGCAAACTGCCCTTCCTACTAACAGTTGTCAGTTACCTTTTCAGAAACAGGCAAAATGACCAAAAATATTTTGAATGTGCACCCGCATGTATCATTCTGATCATGAATTTCCATAGAAAATATTTATTAATCACAATAACTGTAGGGCAAAGCCATATTGGAGGAACTGATTTTTTTTTTAATTTAAACTGATTCTTGTTGAGGTTGGATCTCTTGATCTGAATTCAAAATGTGTAATAAGTTTACAGTTTGATCACGATCAATTTTATAACATAGTTCTACAAACTAAATGAAATGATTCCTGTTGTAGCTAATGTCTCAGTATTGATTTATACTGTTTCTCTGGATTAGAGTTCAAATTTAAGTAGCTTTTAAGTACTAATTTCTAAGACTCAAAGTTGTAGGAAACGACCAGTCCTTGGAGAAGGACATCACGCTTGGTGAAGTGGAAGTTCAATGTAAAGAGGAAGACACCCGATGAGATGGGTTGGCACAATGGCAGCAACAGTAGGCTCAAACATAACAACTCTGAGGATAGTTCAGGACTGGACAGTGTTGCATTCTTTTGCACATAGGGGCATCGGGTCGCTATGAGTCAGACCTGATGGCACCTTGTTGTTATTGTTGTCAGGTGCCATCGAGTTGGAACAGACTCATAGCGACTCCATGCATAGCAGAACGAAACAATGTCCAATCCTGGGCCAACCCCACCACCGCTACCATACTTGACGCCATCAAAGATGCCAACTGGCTGATCCATCTCGTTGGGGGTCTTCCTCTTTTTCTCTGACCCTCCACCTTACCCAGCATGACATCCTTCTCCAGTGACTGTTCCCTCCTGACAATATGTCCAAAGTATGAGAGACGAAGCTTAGCCATCCTGGCCTCCAAGGAGCACTCTGGTTGCACTTCTTCCAAATAGATCTATTGGGTCTTTTGGCAGTCCATGGCACCTAGCAATAACATAAACAGAAAGGAAATAGTAAACATTTTTCTGTTCCTCGGGAAATTTCTAAATTATGTATGATAGTTTAAGTAAAACTTCACAACTCATAGCGACCCTGAATAGGGATCCAAGGAATGGCTGGTAAGTTTGAACTGATGGCCTTGTGGTTTGCAGTCTGGTACTTATCCTATAGTGCCACACCAAAAAAAAAATACTGTTTCAATAATTATATTAAATTCAGCCATTGTAAATAAACCGATTCAAAGACAGAGTTCAGTAAAGTGGGTCATATGACTTAACTATATGCTGTCTACAAGAAATTCACTTCATATAACTATATCTTAAGATGGAAAATATCTATCATACAGTCATTAATGAAAAGAAAGCAGAAGTGGCTATAGCATATCAGGTAGACTGCTCAAGAAAGAGGTCTATTAACATAATGATGAAGGCTCAACCCACCAAGAAGATATAGCAGTGGTTTTATTATATGCTTACAGAAGAATTGACGTGCGTTTTGTACAATCACTTCTAGAAAACAAGAGGAGGCACCTCCCAATTTATTTTAAGAAGCTAGCAGTAGTTACCCTGATGTCATAAAATACAGCTCAATATCCTTTACAAATATAGTTGTAAAAATTTTAACACTATATTAGCATATAGAATTTGGTAGTATATGAGGAAATATGTATCACA